TTTTTTTTTTTTTTTTTTTGCAGCTGGCCAGTATGGGTATCCAAACCCTTCACCTTGGGGTTATAACACCCCACTCTAACCAACTGGGCTAACCAGCCAGCCTCCAAGACTCTGCATTTCTAACAAGCTCCAGGTGGTGCTGCTGGTTTGAGGATCTCCCTTTGGCACCCAGGCCAAATCATGGTTGGTCTGGGTGGGTTTTGCACACGGAGCCCAGCTGCAGATGGGAGCCCAGGTGAGGGTGAGGCGAAGCGGGCTCCGTCCAGGTACTTACCCTGCATCTGACTCTGAGGCTGAGGGTTAAAGGCAGTGGAGTGGTTCAAGGAGGCACGAGGGTTGGGTGTGGGGGCTGGGTGGTGTGGGCTGACCCTCATGGCTGTGCGCCGCAGCTGCTCCAGTTCACTGAGCCGCTCGGAAAAGGACAAGCTCCCGGGCTTGGTCTGATCATCTAGTTTCTGTCGATGTCCTATTGTGGGGTGGGGAAGGGCAGAGGGAGGCAGGGAAGGAGGGAGGGAGGGAACAGATCAGAAAATGTATTGTGGATTTTCTAAAATTGGGGGTCTTCTTGTCTTTCCCCTCCCTCTCCCTTCACCCCCAATGTGAACTTGCTGGAGATTCACCCGTTTGGCTGGCTGCCTGTGGGAATTTGGGGCCTCTTTCGTCACACTGGCCACTGGGTGCTACCCCAGCCTGGGCCCTGGCACCCACCCCAACCCTCTGCACCCACCTCCACTGGGCAAAATACAGTGGGCTTGGTGGCGGTGGTGATGGCAGTTGGGGGAGGGGCAGGGAGCAGGTGAATTAACTGGTATGGGAGCTGTGGGCTAAGGGCTAAGCTGTGGCAGCTGGGAAAGGTGCTCTTCCTGCCGCATCAAAACGCAGCTCCTTACTGCAAACACCACCATGGGCAGGTTTTAGAGGCAGCAAAGTGGGCCCTGGATCTTAGTGGTGTGCTCCTTCCAACAGGAAATAAGGTGTGGCTGCAAACCCAAGGCCCCCGGGGAGATCAGATATCCTGGGTCTTGTCTTAATATTCCCAGCAGGCCAGGCCCACTGGAGCCCAGAGGGAGCCTCCAGCCGATCTGGTGGGAATCCAAGGTGGGAAGATGGGCCCCTTAGTGTCTGTACAGAGCTAAAGGACCTCCCCTTGCCCCTCACCTAAATCACTGCCACCAGGAAGCAGCAAGCGGAGCCACTCTTGTGGGACTTAGGCCTCCATTTTTCTCCCTTAATCCTCATCAAAATGTCTTCAAATTAGAGAAGCCCTGTCAAACATAGCTGAGAATCCAAGGTAAAGATGCAGCCATGGGGGACCTGAGCAATTCATTCCTCCTTTAAAGAGAACAGCCTCCTGCTGCTTCCTCACCCTCTTGGTTCCAATAAAGAGTCGTTAACTGATTTCACAAAACCACCCCTGATTGTCAAGTGACCTCAAAACCACACTGGAGAAGTAGCACCCTTGTTGTGCCCCTAAAGTGACCCCATCCTAAACTAGGAAGAGGATCCTGAGATTCCACTCCCCTAGCCTGGGGCCCAGCTCCCAATGGCTACAATTATAACATTACATTGTATAACTTGCTCATATTATGGTTCCAAATCTCCCTGGCTTGCTGTTTCTTCCTGCTGCCGGGCCCCTTGGCACAGTTGACACGGTCTCAAATTCCAGACCAGAAAAAGGGCCCACTATATTGCAGTGATTTTATCATTAGCAAGACCTGTTTGGCTCCAAATTGAGGAAAAATACTTAAGCATAATATTTGTGTAGTTCCAATGCAACGCTCCCTCTTTTCATGTGTCACCAAGGCAAATCTGGACTCTGATTCAGCGCTCCAGCCCACAACACTTGACTCAAACACAAACACCCTGAGTCACGCAGACTCAGCACGCATGTGAGAGGCCTCTCATGAGCTGAGTATTTTAAGCATCAGCTTTGTGGATGAAAGGCCGTGGGGCCAGGTCCCTGAGCAACCCCCTTCATCTCCTTCCCTCAGAAGTATGGAAATGTCTTTTTCTAGAACATTCTATTTTTGTCAGTCATGGTGTAATTCAAAGTCTCTGGATTGAGCGTTCCTTGGCTCCTCCCTCCTCTTATCTTTACGACTTATCCTCAGCTTCCTGACAATCATGCTGAAAAATCTGAAGTTTCCTTGCTGAAAAATAAACAATTCCAACTCAAAACCCATTTAAAACATAATAATTCAGCCTTTTAAATGCCTACTCCAGTCTGATGCCTAGTATTGGGAATCAAGAAGAAGGCAGGAAAAATGATTCTGGATAGTTCTGCCTCAGAAAGGATGCAGGTTGGCAAAGGCTTCCCACAGGCTTTGTACCCATTTCAAAACCTCATTCCTTGGGCACCCAGTGGCATTTTTGAAGAACACCGTGTCAAGGACAGTGGGTGATGCAGGGAATGATGTGTACAAAGATCATTCTGAATACGTGGTATTTGGTGTGGTGGAGTTACGGCCAGCCTTTGAAGAAGAGCTGTCAGTTATGTCTGCCGCAGCCACCAAACTTGGGGACACGTGCCACTGGGAAACTGATGAAGAATAAGTCATTTCTGGCAAGTCACTACTGTGGCCAGGCACAACGTGAGATTATTTTTTATTTTTTATTTATTAGTCTCCCCCGATTACCCTATGCTTAAAAAAAAAGTCTTAATATGTGAGCAATTTCTGTACCAGCTGACACCTGCCAAAATTGTAGTCATTTACAGAGATTAACTGATGACTGTCTGCGTTAGCAGGAATGTTCGGGCATAACTCTCAGAGAAAACAAGTCTTCACTCTAAGCTGTCTCCTAAGCCCTGAGAGTCTCAGGGCCGAGTTTAACATGGAGTATTGAGAAAGAGTTCATTCCACACTCTCCCCACGTGTGTTCTGGTAGCAAACAGGAGCATTACTGCCTTTGTAGGGAACCTTGACCCCATCCTCACAACAGTGCTAGAGAGTTGTAACACCAAGACACGGAGGAAATGAAGAGCATTATCATCTTCAAGGTGTGGTTCTGATGCATTTATAAGCTAGATCGAAAGAACACCTAATTCTTCTTTTCTGAAACCATCTGACTTCATGTGCCAAATAGCAATATTTTGTATGAAATATAGGAGCTTCCGATATAAACTTTCAAGCTGGGGAAAATGAATGCTTTATATCTCAAGTTTCCTGTATCCGTGTGCAATTAAAATGTCAATTTGCCCCCTGAATTTTAAATAGAGGAGTATGGAAAATGTCCACTATCAAATTCACTTTTCTTCTTTCTACTGAGTACTGGGCTTTGGAGGGCAACAGGGAATTCAACCTTAAGAGCGTACTTTCTGGTAGAGTTACTATGCAGCCCAGAAAATATGCATGTTGGTGGTGTGGCTTTTTGAGTATGTAAGAAGTCAATTGTGAATGTTTGCAGGGTGGTACTGAAAATGGTGCCTACATCAAGATTTTATACTGGGACATCTCAAGCAGAATTGTAAAGGATCCCAAACTCTTCAATTACCATTTTCACATTTTTGAAAAAAAGTAGTTGATTAGAATTTTATCATATATATGCGGAGTCCTGAAAAGCCAAAAAAAGAAAAAATATATATAATAAAAATAAATTAATGCCATTAGCTAACTTTGTCTCATTCCAAAGACATTCCTGTAGTTTTCTGACATGTCTGCCCATTAGGGCATCCCTAAATGTTCTGGTATTTTGTGATTGATAATGAGACCAGCTTTGCCTCTTCTGCTATAAAAACTAGACCAAACAGGCACATCTCATTGATAATTGAATGCCTTTTTCAAGACACTGTGTGATTTGTGGCTGTAAGTAACTGAAATATGGCATATGATATTCTATCAAAGAAAACAGATAAAGCTAAGCTGCCACCTTTTTTTGTAAATTTTTAGCTAGAGAAGAATAAGGAATATTCTGACAGTTAACATCTTAGTCCATGTTTCTAATATGGGTTTACTAGTTTTCCTGATAGATTCTCAACAGAAAAATTAGGAAGGTGTATTCTCAAGGCGTTATCATGATGAGCAGTTGAGAAAGATCTATTCAAAATGATAATATCAAAGAGATATATATCTCTTGTACTTGTGTAAAAAATTGTGGTTCCTCTAAAAGAACATATGAATTTCATATATTTGCTTTTGAAAGGAGATCTGTATTTCAAAAGATGTTTGCCAGTCAATTTGATACTAACTACACGGATCTGGATATATATATATTAAAACATGGATTTTTCTTTCCTTCATTCGCTCCTGTTTTATGACTATGGGAAATAAATCAATGTGTGTAAGAGAATGGCTCACTTTTCCTGGTATAAAAGGCTAACCTCTAGGTTCCAGGATCATTAGGATTTTAAAGCGCTGGTACTGACTGTGAATGTGATCCTTCCTTGAAGTCCCTTGCAGGTGGTGAAATAAACCTTCCTAACTACAAACCTAAGCATCTGCTGGCTAATTTAATGCTGGGAAATGTTGCCCAATATTATATAGCATTTATACTATAAATACAATGTATCATGTAATACAAAATATATAATGATATAGAATATAATGTATTAACATATTATATATTATAATACATATTACATTTGCATGTTTATATATTATCCAATGTTATAAAAATATGGGCAGCTTCACCTTCTCCCCTCCCCCCCATTTCTTCTCATATTGCTAACCTAAGAGAATAGCATGGGGTTGGAGTACTTCAGAATCAGAGAAGGGCCAGAGAAATTAGCCTTGTTTTTAAACTGATGTGTGGGAAGTGAGGTTCAGAGAGGTTATGCCATTCACCCAATCTCACACAGCCAGTTAGAGGAAGAGGGCAGGTCTGAAAACACACCCACTCCCTCAACAGCCCTTGATACACACACAGTCATGCTCAGTGCTCCTAGAAATACAAATGCTGTGAACCTAAAATGAAAAGAGAGGAGAGACATCCAGTGTCACACAGTTTTAGATGAGAGATGCTGGAGCACTTCAGCTTTTGCATTCCCTACCTTTACAATCCCTCTTCTGCTCCTGGTTTGCCCGTAGAATTAGAAGAGAGCCTGAGCTGTCCTGTGATCTGGGGTAGAGAGCTGCATCTCACACACCCAAGCAGGCATTGGAATCATGTGGAGGTCCCAGCTTGGTGGCTCTGGGGTGGGGTGGGATGGGGTGGGGCTGAGAATTTGGATTTCTAATAATGTCCTAGGTGATGCTAGCACTGCTGGGGTAGGGAGTATGGGGGGGGCGGTGGTGAGAGAGGGAGAGGCTCCTCCTGGTGTGCGAGCTTCCAGTGAACATGGCTGCTTCTAATTTGCTGTGCACTGGGAATAAAACACTAAATACACCTGACCTGTGTTTCCACTAAGTGTCCATGGGTGCTGACTGGTGGCTTTGTTTTGGTGATAACTATTTGGTGGTCTTTTTCTTTATTTCTAAAATTCTTTGATGTATACAGAACAGCTGAAAGTGCCCAAACTCTACGCTGCAC